GCTTTCCCTCAGGCCGCATCCTCTCTGCTTTCAGGGTCCTTCTCTATACCAAGGATCCTGGACTCCATGGGCCTTCCCAGGCCTCCCTCTCCTCACTTCCTGCCCTAGCCCCTTCAGTAGGCGGGCATCTGGGAAGGCACCTGTACTGTGCCCTCTCAGTCAGCAGGACACAACCATGTCTCTGGGGATGGGCTGGACTTGCCACGTTTGCTCGCCAAGTCCTCCCCAGAGGTTCCTCAGCTGGGCTCATGGTGTTCCGTCAGTCTCTGTCCTGAACACACTTGCCCAGGCAGTCCCCCAAGCTTCCTTGCTCACTTCCTGGAAAGTGCTGGCTTCCCATCCTCATTGAGATGTAATAGCAGTGCTTACTGATCTTTAAACAGTCTCTATATTTTTAAATCCTATTCTTTGAAATAAAAATATAACACAGAAATACTTTTAAAGAAAAATTTGCATATAGTAAAAATTCAAATCATAATATTCATATAATACAAAGTAAAACATCCCCACCCTTTACATAGTTCAGGAGAATGTCATGACAAGTGGTTTCGTCCTCCCCATCATTACCTCCTTAGGCTTGGAGGCCCAGCAAAACCAACCGCAAAGCCTGCGTTGGCCTGAACCACCCAAAATGTTCCCTTTCAGCAACGCATCGACTTTGGTCTGTAACTATTTTTGTGACACAATAAATGTTCCCAGAGTGTTTTGCGTTCCCCCTAACCTTGGTCCCAGTCTGCGTTTTTCTACCCATCTCCGCCCCTTAAGTCAGTCCTTTCCCGGGACCCGGCCTCCAGGACCCCCTCCTGCAGGACCCTCTTGCGCAGAGCACCTTGCCTACCCGAGCAGGAGCCGGGTCCCTTGGGCAGACCTCTACGCCCACGGTAACGCGGAGCCCCGCCCCTTGGGCAGACCTCCCCGCCCACCCTGGGCGGAGCCCCGCCCCTTGGCCGATCTCCACGCCCACCCTACCGCGGAGCCCTGCCTCTAGCGCTACCCCGGGGGCGGAGCTCTGCGCAGCCAGAACCCACCGGGTCCTTCTGCAGAGCTCGGGGTCCGTCTGCCCCGCGCCGGAGGGGCGTCCCGGGTGCCCTGCGGTGCTGGGGCATGTGGAGGGGCCGCCGACGGTAGCCGGTGAGTCGAGCCCCCTGCCCCTTCCTTGGGT